ATTGTGCAATCTATGTTTAAGATCGGAACATGATATGATACCATGAAAATATTAATCAACCAAAGAAAAGAAAAAAGAAGAATCCATTAATCTATCGTAAGAAGAAATCTAATATTTCATCATAACAATAACTAGTTACAATACACACTATATATAAAACCCTACTACAAGAGAAAGCCTAAAATACCACTACTGGTAAATAAACGTAAATATAAATACAATCTTAACACCCCTAGGTTGAAAGGTAATTTTTATAAGACAACCATATAGGAGGGAATGTTGAAAAGTTAAGAAACGACACACTCAAAAACTAAGGGGTCGTTTGGTAACGTTTTTGTTTTCGCGTCTTAAAAAAAATTAAAAACAGATATAATTTTTGTCTTTGTTTCTTGATAAACACTAAAATAGAAAATATGTTGGGGAATCATTTTTTTCTTTCAAATTATAAGAATAAAAACAAAAAATAAGTTTGGTAACTACTTCAAATTTTAACTTTTAAACAAACACTCGCTAATGTGTAGACAAACTGAATTTGTTTAGCACAAATCAAAAATCGTTCAACAATTAGAATTTGAAGAAAAAAAGCAACCAAAAACAGAGCACACATGCTCTGACAATAAAACAATTGTGCATATCCAAGAGCCATATTAGCACACGAACATCATCTGTATTTAGAAAGTCAGAACTCACATACCAGGAATGGAAAAGGAAAAGAAAAAAGACCAAGTCACTAATAAATCACAGGAACATGCAATCATGAATCCAACCACTTGCTACTCCACATCTGTTAATTATAGTAAAACCCTTTTTTTTAAACCAAAAAAGCATAACTCTACAGATGCTTAAATCCTAAATCAACACAACACACACGCAGATCTACACCCAAATCAAAACAACACACACACGCGCACAGATTTGGTGCATATATACACAGGATCTGTGCATATATATGCCCAGTTTCTGGGTTTCACAGAGAAGAGGGAGAGAGGAGAGAGGAGAGAGAGGCAGCGATGGGGAGGAGATACGCAGTGATGGGGAGGAGATATGCAGCAATGGAGAGAGAGGCAACGATGAGTTTCTCAATATCACCTAGCGGTCTGATATAGAGAAAAGAGAGAAGAGGGAGAGAGGAGAGAGAGATGTAACGGGGAGGAGAGAGGGATGAAATGGGCTTTTATACTTCAACAAAAAAAGGCCTTGTTTTGCAGTTAAGAGGAGTCGAAGTCCGGATCTCATTAATCCCTAAGTCTTTTTGCGCGTTTTGTTTTTGTTTTTGATGTTTCTTAGAACATCTTTTTTTTGTTCTCATTTTGTTGTCTTTGTTTCCATACTTCTAATATAAAACAAAAATAAAAACAATACCCAAACATATTTTTGTTTTCATTTTTAATAAAAATTGAAAACAAAAACACAAAATACAAGACAAAAACAGTTACCAAACAACCCCTAAGTGTTGCAGAAAGGATAATGTTAAGGTGAATGTGTGATAAAATGAGAAAATATAGAATTAGAAGTGAATATATTCGTAAAACCGTAGTAGTTACACCAATAAGATATAAATTAAGATATGGTCCACTTAGGTGGTTGATACATGTTTATAGAAACCTAATAACGCACCGATAAGGAAGAGAGATTTAATACATATCGATAATAATGTGGGAGCTAGAGGTAGGCCTAAAACAACTATGAATGAAATAGTAAAAAAATATACGATAGCTTAGGCTCTGTTTGTTTAGCAAGTAAATGTGGGAAAGTGCAAGAAAAGAAAAAAAAATCAATTTTCCATACGATTAATTAGCTAAAAAATATGGTTTCTCGAGAAAAAAAATTTACCTCCAACACCCAAATTTTCTTGCAATCAACCACTGTCTTTTCCGATAAATTATACGGGAAATTTTTTTTTCATGGGAAACTTAACTTATTTTCTATTTTGCCCACTTAACATGTTACCTATTTCAATAAGAGAAGTGAGAAGAAATTAGATATTTTGCTCACAACAAAATATAAAGAATCAGATATTTTGGCTACAAATGTATTTTTATTTTTTTTAATCAATTGCACTAAATGTTGATAACAACTACTAGGTTGATCATTGGGTTAGAAACTTAAATTATTGACTTTTTATCCGTTGGGCCCACATTATAATTTCTAATCCTTGTCTATGTGTTAGATTGATATGACAAAGATAATTTAGTACTTACATTAAATTTTTTATATTTTTCTAGCAAACTTTTCATTCTAACCAAGCGTACAAAAAAATAAATTTTCCTTTCTTTCACTTCACTTTCTACTATTTTTACTTTTTGTCATCAATTTCTTTCTAACCAAACGGAGCCTTATGGTCTAACAAAACATATAACCCTTGATAAATCCTAATAGAGAAACAAGATTCATGAAGGCGACCCCAAATAGTAGAGATTATTAAGGCTGAGTTAACTTGACTTGACTTGATTTGGCACGATTTTGGAATGTTTTGAAAATACGAATGGCATAAGGTGATATTCGGAAACATTGTTCGTTACATTGAGATGTGGATGTTGAAATAGAGGTGTTGATTCCCATCTTATGGATTTAGAAACTTGAATGCTTACTATGGGCATGTAGATGGTTGATTGATGATTTTTGTCCCCAAGGGAATCCAAGGGTCCATACATAGTCCTAGGGAGGATCACTTACTATTACTAGATGGTTGTAATTGCATGTGTGGCGCTATAAGTTCCCATTACTTATCCTCTCTCAAGAAGCAAGACCAATATCATGTTCTTTTTCCTTGGGAGAGATTCCACATTGTTGACTAATATTATTGTATGTGCGATATCCATACATTTGACTTTCTTGGTATTCGGATATCACTTCTAATTTTCTTAACAGTGTTTGACAATGTAAATTTGCAATAAAATGTTCGCACAATATCCTATTCATGAAAGTTCTATTTTAGTCATTGATAAAGGTGTGTTTCCAAGGATTATAGCATGGTTTTGTGTGTTTTTATCTTGATAACCTCCATTTTTCAACCTTGGGCACGTGTAGGAAAACTTGTCTCTTGGGATGGTTACGTTCACTCTATCTCCCTTTTTTCCACATTATTTGTGGTTAAAGAGATGATAAAAAGGAGTTCTCTTCCAATAGGTATATGCTCGCAAGTAGTGGTCATTAGTTTTTTTAACCTTGAGGTTTGTAGTAATGGATGTGATCGATATAGTTGAGTACGGGAGTTGTTTCTCATGTATCTATATCTACTGTATTTTTTGACATTTGAGGTATATATAATGCTTAAAGAACAATCATGTCTTAGAATGTGATGGAGATTGTGTATTAAGAGTTGTGTAGAGTTACATGAGAGTATGATGGCTTATCAAATATCGGGTTTCAAAAGAATTTTTGGGCCTTTATTTGTTCCCTGATTTTTAGATAGTTTTGTAACTGATATATTATGTTTTAGATAATGAGATCAACATGATTTGGTTGGAATATAGTTCATTATTGTAGTAAATGCTCTGACGAGTCATCCTCAATACCAACTCGCACGGATATGAGTTTTTCAAACAAAACTCACATCAAATTTTTTGCTAAAAGTTAGTGAACACTTCTTGCTTTCCATGGCAATTTGCATGGTTGTTAGTATGAAAAATAATTAATTGCTTCTGAGACGTATGACCTAAGAAGCACAGACACGGATATGGGACACAACAAAGACACGCCGACATAAAATTTTTAAAAAAGGTAGGACACGAACACGTTAGTGATTCACTAAATAATATATACTTTTAAATAAAAATATATATATATATATATAATTATGTGATAAAATAAAAATATTATCATAATAGTCTTTTAATTAATTATTTACCTAATTCTAAAAATTCACATCATGATATCACCGCAAAAAATGTACAATATAAGATATATCAATACACATTCAACATTAACATTCATGATTCAATAATCAATAACTTCTATAACTTTTATTTTCAAAAGTATTTCATTTCATAACACTAATTTTCATCAATTTCCAAGAGCCCCAATTTTGTAATCTCATTTTTTCTCGCCTTACTTTCATATTAAAATTTATTCCATTTGTATATAAGTCCGTATTTGTATCCAAAAATACGTTACATTCATGTCCTATGTTCAATGTACTGATTATAACTTCTTTTATATTATGATTGTGACTCATATTTCTTTCAAATTACAAAAAATGGCTCTTAATTATAAAATTATCTAAAAAGTTCTCAAAAACTTAAAAATAAATCTCAAAACGTATCCCAAGCGTGTCAACCGCATGTCTCCAACATGTCCTAAAGTGTCCCTAACGTGTCGGTCACATTTCCAAAACTTGTCCTAAACAATAATTAAACAATAAAAAAATCGGACACTCATTATAACGTGTCCGTGTCCCAAACGTATCCGACATCGACACTCTGCCCAAAATGAAGTATTTGTGCTTCCTAGCTTATGACTTATCAAAACCACTTTAAATAAAAAAAGTTAGGTTTAGTATTACCAGTTTAAAGTACTTTAAAATAAGTTAGAAGTGAGTTTACGACTTAAATGATTCGGTAAGAAAAAAATTGAAAAGAGAAAAGAAATTTCTACACAACATTTCAAAATTTTACATTCATCGCCACCACTACCGCTATCCCACCACTACTATTGTTGTTGCCGCCTTTGCCACCTCCACCTCCACCTCCACCACCACCACCCGAACTGCTACCACAGCAACCACCATTGCCACCACTACCATTGTCACCACCACCAACATTGCCACCACCATTACCCATATATTTGTGAATGTACATATAAGGAGATATATTAGTGATTGTATCATAGATAAGCTCCTTTTGTGAAACGTCCAAGCGCTCTTTTGTCTTTTGTATAAAATGTTTTTTATTCAAGTGTTTGTAAACATCCAAACAATACTTGTTCAATAGTGTTTTTCTTATAAAACAATTTTCACTAAATGATTAATAAAGTACTTTTGGTAAACCGGCGTTGTAAAGTCATAATGAACACCACCTTAATGGTAAAACAGCCTGCGTTCTCAATTAAAGCATTTTAGAAAATAACCATGCCAAGAGAAATTCAAGGCAATGACACTTCTGTTGCAACGGTAGAGTGCCTTGAAGTTGGAAGCACACAGCAAGCAATTTTTTTCTTTATATCCAGGGCTGATTTCAGCAATTATGGAAACTTATGGCTATATATCCAATAATGTTGACAGTTGAGAAATACCTGTTGTCTTTTGGACTCAGAATGTAAGGGCTTGGCATAGTTTCTGATGAAATCTTGTGGCATCCAAGGCAAATCAGGAGGGCCATTGCTCCTGCTAAAATTCGGTCCCTCCCTCGCATCACGGAAGTCATGCCAGTGCTCCTGGTAAGGTGAGAAAACTAAGTACCAAGTGGAAAACAGAAAGAATGTTGAAACATTTAATAAATGAACAAATGCAAAAACATTTGAAAAAGTACATATACGTTGTGAACCAGCACCAAGACAATTATTTCCCAGGTCATGAACTGATCTTAGGCCATTGGTGTTTATACCTAAGACTCAACCAGCAGGTCAATTGGCAGACAAATGATTTCCAACCATTTATCTTAATAGGCTCAATTAGCCAAATCTAAATCCTATGATCGCAAAAGGTTATGGATATGCTTTTAGTCATCATCATAGCAATAAATTATCATCATGTAGCATCCAGACAAATGACCATAAGCCGCAGAGGGCGAAGCACCCTAAGGTATGTGGGCTTCAATCAACAGTTCAACTCCGCACAATCAGCCAGCACCTAATGGATCAACTTGTGATTCAGGTACTCATGATAACTTTTTAGGAGCTGCACTACACAATTTAAAGCAGTCTAACTATCTCAGAACTTCTAACTTACTCTTCTCAAAGGTTGCAACCTTAGGAAATCCACCCGTATCTGGCCACCAACTATTTGTTTCCCGTTCATACTCTTCAACGCTTGAGAAGCATCTTCCAATCTAAAATAATCAACAAACGCACTATTGCGGTCCCTAAGGAACTTAAATTCCTGAAGTTTACCGAATCTGAGAAATTCTTCTTCCAATTCCTCTTTTGATACAGATGGGCTGATTCCACCAACCCACAAGCTCTTACATGGCTTAGCCTGCAAAAGAAATTCAGTAAAAGTTCCAAGCAAGCATACCGAAGAAGCCTAAATTCATGGTAAGTCCGTGCAACACAACTTCAAAAGCAGCATATTGTATATCCAAGAAGCAATCCAACTGTAGTCAAGTACACATCATGTAAATGGGTTTTGGAGATGACTGATTATCCAAAAAAAAAATACTTGCATTAGCTAGCAATTGAAATTATCAGGTCAATGATGATGACTGATTACTCACAAAAAAACTGCTTGCATTAGCCACCAATTGTAATGGATCAGGTCAACACTCAATGCTTAATAAGGCTTATATCAATGGCACAAGTCTAACTGGCTACAGGAACAAAGATTGGATTTCCCTGAAACTCCAATTACCATTCTATGACATCACAAACGACAAAACCACAACAGCTTACAACCACTTGTGTGCAATATTTACTTCAATAACTTAGGTATCTAATATACAATTTAGCTACCAATTACCATTCCAAGACAAAAGCTCAAGCTGTATTTAACATTTTAAAAAAAACAGCAACAGCAGCGGCAGAAACAGAATTGAACTCCCACATGAAGACACATACTACCACTATAGCATAATTGCTTTAGCAGCAGAAGCAATGTTGTCTCATTTATGAACAGTGTCTGAAAATTGAAGCCCCAATAACATTGCCTAACCCCCAATTGCTTGATTCATTTTTTGTTAGGAAAGATCCACCAAATAAAGATAGCAAACAACATACAAAACACTGAGTAGATTAACTAAGAAACACTACCAAATTCCCTTGTTCCCATAATAAATCCCCCAGTTTACATTACAAGGATTTGGCAAAAGCCCACAAATGGAAACATACAAGAAAAAATACTGCGTGCCCTTAGTAATAGCAAAAAAGTCATACAGTAAACAAATCAAACAAAATTGAGAAGACCGTGACAATCCAAATCTCTGCGCTAGGGGTGGGTGTGTTTGGAAGAGAGATCACTTCTAACCCGAATTTTCAGAAAACTTTCTAATCCCATATAAGACCATAATGATCAATCAATCATGATCACCATTAAAGCCAAAATATAGAAGGCTTGAACAGTTCATACCTAATATCTTTTCTTAGACAACGGATCCTTGCCCGAAATGAATCAATCTGTTGCCAAGATAATCTTATAAACTATTCTTATGGTTTGCAAACTTTATCTCCTCTAAGGTAATCAACAAAAAGCAATACTAATAGCACAATGCTGCCTTAAGTTACCAAAATGACATTTGTTTCTTCCTGGATATGTTAATATCAGGTTCTCCAAAACGTACCAAAAAAAAATATGTAGGTTTAATAAATTACACTAAAGTGGGTAATGGTGAATTGAAATTTAGGAAAGACTGTTAAGATAGAAGGGCTCTAAAGCCAAAGATTAAAGCTCAATACAAGAAAGTAAATTTAGTAAACCACAAAACATGAAGCAGGAATCAACAATGGCAGGCAAGAGCCACCAAAGAGTGAACTTGTGTTAGGTAACAAAGATAGCAAATCAGATAGAATTAGCGAAGGAAGCTTCTGAAGTAAAGTGTCACCAGTATATACTGATGGAACCATAACAAACTTTGTCAAACAGCCATAAGACGCGTTAGATCCTCTAGGGAAAACAGATTAGACAGTTTAAAAGCATCTTATAAGATCAGTGCGCCACAGAGAAGGATTGAGAAACGAATACATGGCAAGATACAAATGAAGAAATTTATAGATATTCAAGGTAGTGAACAACCAACGGAACACCAATTGGACATTCAAAAGAGAAAATCAACCACAATAGCTGGGTTATTCTACTCAATGATTTTACTATACTAATGAGAACCATGGACGTTAAATGCTAAGCAAGAAAAGTCCAATTGATACGCATGCAGGTTCTGGGAAAAAGATAGTGTCCACTTTAAGTGAAATTGTAGCCCTAATATGCACAAATAGTCCAAGAGTTTTGAATAAAAAAGATAGACAAACCCAGATAAAATAAAGCTTACTACACATATATTATGACAACATTTACTACAGTTGGGTTGAGTTTTGAATTAATATACCACACAAATTCTATTTCATCATAAATAAAATAGAACTTACACAACTACATCTATGTAATACCATCTCACTATGTTCATCTACATAAGCATAAAACTCAAGATGAGATATTGATCTTTCAACCAAAAAAGCAGGTTCCCATTGACAATTTGCTTGCTTTTGGAAAATGTATTAAACCAAATGTAAAATTATTTATAATAAAATGAGCTTCAAAGCTTTCCAAATAATATCAAATATTGTTGAATCTCAACATACTTGGTGCTATGGTAAAGGCTATTCCACAATTCAACTAAATTCTATCATGAAATCATGATCAATTTTCTTTCTTTTGTCATTTCACTTTTGGTGGTGGTATTCTAGGGAAGATTTCATAGACTTAATAAGCATTAATTTTTTTGTAAGAATAATTTAAGTAAATTATCACCTACTCAACAGAATTGTCCTAATCCTTATATTCATCACAATTTACAATTTACTAAAACATAACCCATGATGCATGGCATGCCTGAAGGTTTTTTTTTCAGTTAGTAAGAACAGAGCATTGTCCCCAAATGTGCATTATGTTTCAAACCATGGAATCTAAGTGTCGGACACATATTATCTAAAAACGAGGAGCCGTTACTAATGATTATCTCAGACATTAGTATTTCAGCAGGTTCTTGTTTGACATGCATGTAGCATTGCAATGGTCTAGGACCTCAGAAAAGGTAGAGGCAGAGTTTTCAAGGCAGATCAGTGCAAACCAGGCATTGCGAATCAATCAGTGCAGTTGATTTTTTCTAAAAATAAAAGTAAATGAAAAAAGAAAACTTATTTCTCAGAATATTAAACAAATTGGTGACAATATAACACACAATTTGACTTTGAACTCCATTTTCTCCTAATATCTAAGACTTCACATTCTGAATTCCCATCCTGTAATATTTTAAACAAAGCTTCAAGAATTCTAGTCTATCATGTGATGTCATGTTCCTTTGTTGTGACCATTTTTCCAAAGTCCTCGCATATTAGAAGAGTAAGATGGAAATAAATGAGTAGCTAATAAAAAGCTCACAATATCAAGGGACATTGCGGTAATACTAACAATTATCACAAGTTTCATTATCCACAAGTATTCATCCACAAAAGAAACCTATAGTGGTCAATCAGGTCCCATACCACCAAAATGTTAGCAATGAAAGCAGATGCATCAGACGAAAATGCATTCAACTAAATTTGCTAGTTAGACACTTTCTACAATATAATACCATGACATGGAATTTCACAAAATCAATACTGATATTTATTTTCATCATTTTAAATAGTCACCTTCAATATTTTTTTCCAATAAGTGGCACATTCATCAATTTTCTCCCAAAAAAAAGGCTGGAAGTGCAAAAAACTGCAATTTCTCCTCATGTGGGTACTTTAAAAGAAGAATATCATTGCAGTGCGTATAAAGACTGTCCACATGTCACCAATCTTCCAAAGGTTGATGGTAGAAGACCAGGATGGCATTTTAAGTGCGTATAAATAGTTGCATAGCTATCCTCCAAAGGTTGTTGGTGCAATGCATGGCGGCCCATTATATTCACATTAACTCCAAGAGATTCTTGTCCATGAAGCAATTTTTATCCATAAATAAATTACTGTCTTTTAATTTGGTAGTTTCGCATATATATCTTTGGAACTACCACTCGACTAAAAAACTAGCTCTTTCCTTTTGACGTTAAAATGTAGTTATTTGAAAGCACATGTGTCAAAAAATCAAATTCAATGATGTCCATCAAAAAATAAAACAGAAAAAGAAAAAAACCATATAGTATAAGAAGAACAATTTTTGTTAGGCATATATCCAACCAATCGGTGTGTCCTCTCAATGCATAGTAGCTTCCAGTAACTTTACAAGAGATGCACTGATATCAACACGAGTGACATGGACATATACACCTCTTTATCCAAATGCATTGTTTGCGAATCCCACTCATGTTTCATCTTTCACACTCTCGTTTGTTTTCTCAGTTAGGCTGAAACATTTCTTGGGGTTGAAAATTTCTAATCTAATCCCATTGTTTGCATCAGCTTAAGACTGAGATTAGTCTATATATTCTCGACTTTTTCAATGTTGCGACCCTAGACTCAATTCCAACAGATTCTGCTTCCAATTCGTTGAACTGCCAAAATCATTGTTTGTTTTAGTTAATTATTGCCCCATTATTTTACTGTAACTGGTCTCCATGTTAGTTCCAAAGTAGACTTGACACTTCAATCTAAAAATTGTTCAAAGCTCCTTCAAGAGTTGGTCATAGTGATGAGGGTAGAGTGAATAGAAATTGGCGATGGGTATCTTTGTTTGGTTTAGGATTTTGATATAGATTGCCCAACTAAAAATGAATTAAATGAATATGAATCTTATAATGGTACCTCGAAACAAGGATTCGAAAAATTTCCACTCAACAATCCCTTTCAAATTTTGGTAGCCCAAAAACATTACTTTATCCATCAATAGCTCAACCAACATTCAAGAAGGATGTGATTTTTAAATAGTTCAAATCCAGGAGGTTTGTTTTCTCAGCTAAATTCTTTTCAACATGGGCAACCATTCCAAATCCTTAACTTGACAGAATTTGGCTTTTTGGATCTATTTATTAGAATCTTCCTGGATTTCTAAATTTACAGCAAAATTGTCTTTGATTGTTCTGAGTCTTCTAACATCCAGTTAGGATCCCAAGGTTAAAGCATATTTGACTAATAATTGTGTTTAGGGTATATTTCACGGACACCCTATGAAAAATGGCCTAATTATAAGGACACCCTATAGTTTCTGAAATATTATTGTCACTCCTGTAGTTTATATGTCATATCACATACTAACCTTACCATCAGAGATGTTACTAACACATCAAAAAGTAATGATGTCAACCAATATTACTTTAAATTGGCAATTTTACCCTTCAAATATATATAAGCCTTGTACCCAACCACCCATATTCTTTTACCAAACAAAACTAATCCAAAAACCAAACAACTCTCATATCCTTCAATTTCATCTTCTACATATCTCAAACACAGGTAAATGTACACACGTGGGCACGTTTAATCAATTTGTAAGCTAGGGGAAAATTTAGCCTTCACCACCACCAGCCATAATCCAAATTTCACCACTTAAATGTTAATTTTGTATTAAATTGATAAAGTTAAATGTTAATTTGGTGTTAAAACTTAAAACTAATACACTTGGTGTTAATCCAATGAAATGGAATGTTAAAGTGTTAGTTTAATGAAATTGAATATTAGTGGGATGAACTTCAATGCTAATTTGGTGTTAAATTGACGAAATATATGTTAATTGGATGAAATTGAATTTTAATTTGATGAAACCGAAGGTCAATTAAGTGTTAATTTGGTGAAATTAAAGTTTAAATTAATGAAATCGAATGCTCGGCGCTAATTTGATGAAATTGAATGTTAATTATATGAAATAAAATATTAATATGATGAAATAAAATGTTACTTTGGTGTTAAATTGAAGAAATTAGTGTTAATCGAATAAAATTGAAATTATAAAATTAAATCTCAATTTGATATACTTAAAGGTCATTTGTTATTAATTTGATGAAAGTAAATATTAATTTGGTAAAATTAAAGGTCAACATGGGGGGGGGGGGGGTTGACAATGGATATAAATAAGTAAAATGGGCATTTGTTAACTCTTAAAATATATAATTATTATAGTTTACATATATATATATATATATATATATCAATGTTTGAAGACCCATCCCGGCAGATTAACCTGAAGAAAAGGCCAGCCAATAGTTGAGTCGGCCGATTCATAAATTAGATCGTTTGAACAATTCACCCACCAAAGAACCGTTCAAACCAGTCTAAACCGGCCAATTCTTATTGAACCTATTGCAAATATTGTCTTCAACTTTATTAATTACATATTAAAACGCCACATAAAGCTTTAAGCTAGTCCACATGGATCACCTTGTCAGTAGGTGTTGGTACAAACTACAAGCCTAGACCACCAGTCAACATGAAATAAATTGCTCCTCTTATAGGCACATAGTTCCAATATCTTCTTGTAGGTATCCAATGTGGGTGATATGTATTGTGTCTAAATTGCCTTAGTTCTTCTTCTATTATTCTAATATCTTGCAGTAAACCTTTGAGCTACGTTATTTTTCTTTCAAGTTTTTTTTTTTTTTGGGTCATCATATTGTCACAATTTATACCAAATATTCAATGCTTATTACCGAATTTTTTATACTCTATCAAATTATATCAAATGTCTAAGTAAATTAATTCACCGGGGATATTTTTTGTCTTTCTATTTCATTTACTAGAATTACAATATGCTATTTTTGTAACTATTATAATCTTTTAGACTATTCTTTATTTTATTTTTTTGATAAATTTTTAGCATATGTATTATCATTACTAATTATTTATTATTATTAATTAAATGACCCGATTGATCCATGGTTGAACCAATGAACCATTGATCCAGTCTATTTGTCAGATTGATGTATGGGTTCATTTTGATATTGGTCAAATAAATACTTACTATAAGGTCAAATTAAGTAATAAGTTTATATGACCAAGAAAGGAATATTATGTTAGGGGTAGTGATGTCATTTCACATTTTCTGTTACATTTTGGTAACAGTGATATTTCAAAAACCATAACGGGTATCCTTTTAATTAGGCTATTTATTAGAGGGTGTCAGTGAAATTTACCATTGTGCTTTCTACGGGAACAAAAAAACTACAAATCTTTTGTTTAATAAAAATGCAAAAATAAATCCATCATGTAATGTAAAATTACAAACCAACCATTTCTATATACTAGAAATGCACGACGTGCACTAAACATAAATAAATTTAAATAATATTTTTTTATAAAAAATATGAATTATTTGTATTTAAATTAAATAATAAATTAAATTTCAAATAATTAATTTATATTTTAATTATTACTAAATATAATTATTAATTTATTCTATAAAATTTTGAGTATATAATCTGTCATTTATTTAGGTATCTCTCCGACCCTTTTAGGCATTTGCATAATAAATATATTATAGAATTATTAATTTTTATTTTTTAAAATAGATTGATTAGATCACTTATAATCTATATAATAAATTAGCTAGCAAGTTGAATCTTTACCCCTTTTACATTTTTCCCCCAAAAAAATCACATCACTCAATTTTATCACATGTTTAATCATTTAATATTTAGTTAATTTATAGTTTAACACAACTTTATTTCATACATTATCTATGCATGATAGTGTACATATGTTAAAAAAATTTTGTCAAGTTATGCATTTTGAGAAAATTTTGATGTTATTTTTAAGAAAATAATAGGTAAAAATTAATTTTAAATGATATAAACAAAGAAATTAATTTTCAATTTAGTATAGTGGGATCAATTTTTTGAACGCTAAAATCTTATGTTTCATAGTGCCTTCAACCACGGGTTATGCATAGTACTATTATATTATTGCATACCAAAAAATATAATATAATATATATTTGGCCATGGAATTCAATCTCATAACTATATTTGTATAATAATTTAATACATATATACGATTTTACTTCTTCATATAGATATAAAAAATTGTATCTAATTGTACAACTAATAAATGAGTTCAAAAGAATTTAAAAGTTCTTATAAAAAAGTTTAAAACAAGTTGAAAGTCAAATAGGAGTAAAAAATAAAAATTAGATGAAAATATATGTATTAGTGGGTATAATTGACTTTATTATAATAATTAGGGTTAAAATAAAAAATCAAAAAAAATTTCATTTACTTCTATATAGATATAGAAAATTGTATGTAATTATACTATTAATAAATGAATTCAAAAGAACCCAAAACAAGTTAAAAGTCAAATAGGAGTAAAAAAACAAAATTAGATGAAAATATATATATTAATGGGTATATTTGACTTTATTATAATAATTAGAGTTAAAATAGGAAATCAAATTTTTTTTGCAAATACTAACATTTATAAGTAGTATAGATAGATAGATAGAATATATATATATATATATATATATAGGCTTGGTCTTCCCTCCCAATTTCCTAAATTGTTAGAGTTCTAAATTTTTTAATTATCAAACTAATTCTCTCTCCAATAAAATTATATCACGTCTCATTTGTAACCATCTCTCAACTCCTCCCGAACTAACCATTATTTTTGCAATTTATTCAACTAAAATTATTTTTACTTAATAATTTTTATCCAACTCATTAAGTGTTAAGGTGAAAGATAAAAGCAATGGGTCAAAAAAAGACAAGATGAAAAAAAACATATCACGTGTAGCGCTCAGGGTCGACAATTATAAGCTGATGAAAAGGCTTGAGAATCATTCCTTCTCTATTTTTCAAATACTTCGAATCTTTTAATAATAAACTAAGGTCTCCTTTGGTCCTTATTCAACACGTGGCTCCTTTTATAGCCCCCTCAAGTTTTTAAAATTACACAAAATAGCCCCCTCAAGTTTTTAAATTACACAAAATACCTCTAAATTAATTAAATTTTTAATGCATCTCAAATTTTGAATATTATCCTTCATACTCGCATTATGATCTTGATTTTACTGTACCCTCAATTATTAATTTAACCACACTGCACCATTAACCATTCAAATTATGCTATTTTGCACAAATCGTTAAATTCTAGTTTTGCACAAATGGGTAAAATTGGAATTATTTTGAATTGTGCTATATAGTCGAATCAGTAGTCTACGTGTAAAGTGAAAACAATGTTACCGTTTCAGAGAAAAACAATATAATACACCCAAACACTACATTGTAAAAAATATATATTGGAGAAATATGTTTTCTCTCTCATCATATTTTTAAAAGGTATAATACAATGAAATCTAGTTGTACGAGCGATTATATACGACTAGTTGTACGAGTGATTATATACGACGAAATTAAGCTGAAATTATTGATTGTTCGATAAATCGATCAATTTTTTTTAAGGCAAAGTTTTAACGATTTTATTAAAAATGGGTAGATTAGTATAAATAGATTCTATATACCTAAAAATATGACATTAACGATAACTCATCAGTAATTCACTTTGACCAAAAATTTCAAGTTATGCAACTATTTGAACCCCTCCCATGAATGGTGAATAGTATGGAAGGAGAAAAGGGAGCATCGTGAATCCCGTCCATTTACCCGGCTACTAAAAGAATAACAACAACAAACCATCCAAATTAAACCTAGCGAGACACAAATAAGCGCATCAGAACAAACCGGTTTGGCAAAATCGATCTTAATCGCATGCCCTTTCAGAACCACCCCTTGCAAAGCTTCCTTGGCCGATTTTGCATCCTCGATTCGACGGAAGTACACGAATGCAAAGCTCCGCGCCGTGTAAGAGGCAATGCCGTCCAACGCGCCGTGATTTTCGAATAAAGACATCAAATCTGAGTCCGTCACCTCGCTGGATAAATTTCCGACCCATAGATTATTTGAAGGTGTTTCCGGCTCGTCGGGGTCCTTTGGATTATGACTCGGTTTCATGAATTTGTTCGGCGGAGGCTTTGTCGCAGAGAGATACCCTGGCAAACAGGGGAGGTTTGGAGAATGGGAAGGGAAATGAACTGAATTACACAAGAAGAAAAAGGTATCTATATGTAGATATACAGTGTGTGTGTGTGTGTGTGTGTGTGTGCAGGGAGGAGAGAGAGAGGCCTCTCGACGGCGAGAAGAGAAGGAAAAGAGTAGATGAGAACGAAGGATGGGTACAGACCAAAAGAAAAAGAGAGAAGGTAAAAGGCAGGAAGAGAAGAGACGGGGGCAAGCTGGCATATATGCATGGCTCTCTGTAAGTGGAGTCCAGGTGGAGAGAGGAGGGGTTTCAGTTACAGACGCGACTTGTTTTTTCTGCTAAATTGAAAAACGTGTTGATGGTAGTGTTTAAAATGGGAAAAATTATATTTTATGCCCTAAACATTTCAAAAATTTAAAAAATTTATTTTATACCTTTAAAAATTAAATTGTTTACATTACACTCTCAATATATTAAAAATATTACAATATAGCATTTACGTTAATTTTCATTACTCATTTTATCAACTTCAATATGGTGGGTTTTAACAAAATAAGTAACAAAAGATAACGAAAAAACTATATGATAATATTTTTAATATGTTAAAGGTGCAATGTAAAAAATATCATTTTTAAGAGTACAAAATATAAAAATTTAAATCTTTCTGATTTCCCCTTTCAAATGTTTTGAACAATGTGGAAATATATGTATTTATTTATCAATCATGGCAAGCCAAATTGTGTATGTGGTCCCGGTTGTTGAGGTTATTAATGAGCTTGATAACTAATTGAGCATCTACATTAATTTCTTGTTTTTGATAACTTTTTGGGATAGCTAGTTTTAAACCTTGTGGTAAAGTCCCTAATTTTGCTAGGTCGGAAGTAATTTCTCTATTTTTGCATCAACCTCTCGAGAAAAAAATCTCATACCTTGATAATGGTAGGAATGATGTTATTTTCTAGAAAATGAATTGACTGTTTAATTGAATTGAGTGCACCTTCCTCCATGCAAGATGAACAAACTTCCTCATGTTAGGGTGTTTGACTAATCGGAGGCACTTTGATGCTTAAATTAAAAGTTTTAATATTAAATAAATAATTAAAAAAGAAAGAAATGTGTGTCTTTGACTAAAGCTCATTCAGTATATATAAAAGTATGTACCCATTTTTTAGATTATAGAATCATGGCTGAAATAAAGTAGCACACTTATTTTTTAAATAGATCTTCCCACATCCGTATTTGAACCTCTTAAGATACATTTCTCATTAGTTGATTTTTTAGGTCACATGTTTATAATGCGCACCATTAAAATATACAGTTTTCTTATTAGTTGCTTCTAATTGTCCGTGTTATTCACGATGACTTAACTATTCCTAGTTGGGGTGGATTTAGTCTTTATCCCTTGATTTTGAACCAAAGTCTCATTTGGATTTTTGATTTTTTTTGTCTGCTCTGTCTATACCAACTTCTTAGGAATTTTGCAAATCGAACTATTCAATTGAGGAGACTCCAATTTTGATCGACCAATGTCAAGACCTATTTGGTTGGCTCATCGAGGCACTCTACATTTGTCATGTTGTCATTTCATACTTTTGTCACGTGCCCTTTGTCACATGTCCTTATTAAATGGTCTAATCATGCATAGGGTTATTCTAAACCCCTTCATCTGCCTCCAGAGAATTTCTGTCACATGATAGTCGATGTCATTCATTCTCTGCAGCAATCATGTACTTCATTAAATGCAATGCAATGTTTCCAACAAAAGTCGCCATTATGTCATTTCATCGTGAAAAAGGCGTGTCGTTCCATCTTCTGGCACATTCTTCTTATAAAATAATATTATCTCTTCTTTTTCCTCTATTACTTCAATCTTCAAGCTACTCCAAGCATCAATAAGTCTCTCGTTCTCTCTCCTTGTTATTTTATTCTCCTTTTTCTTCTTTGCAACCTTTTTTCATAGCCTTTTTAACAAAGGATGATATTCCAGCCTTTAGAATTAAGTACAACATCCTTGATGTAGTCATCGGGGTTGCTAAAAATGATGAGCCCCACATTGACTCTATAGAGTCCATCCCCATCCACACTCGAGCCATAACCGAGGGTGGGGTCAGGTCTCTTCACCACTGTCTTTTTCTCTAGGATTTATCCTTTTAAACTTTGCCCAATCTAGTGCTATCCTAACTTCTTTAGGATAATAATGGGTGTGGTGGCCTTGAACGATCTTCTCAATATCAATATTGGTATTTGAGAGATTCTCTTATGTTCTATAATCAAATATGTTGGAGCAAAAACTATTACTTTCAAGTTAGTAACAACTACTACTTTTAAGTTAGGAATAAAGCCCTCTACATAGTCATACATCTCCCAAATTCCAACAAGGTGGCACAAAACGACATTGTATATGTGCTTAGGAATTTGGAGCACAAAATGGGTGAGAAGCCTTTTTCATTCTTCTTTGTCATAAAATGGTGTGACATAAATGAAAGTTGCTCATTATCATTAAAAATATTCATTGTGTTTATAGTTATCTGGTTAAATTAAAAACAAATCCCTTATTAAAAATTCCCGATGAAGTTTACAGTATTAAAAAAACATAACTAAAAGACAATGAATATGATGGTAAGAGCAACACATGTAAGAGCATACCTCTAGTAATCCATTCCACAACATTAACACATAAAATTACTTCATCAATCTAGGACATAACATGACAACTCTCACATCACCATCAAATCCTATTTTAAGTTTACAATTCAAAAAATTAATTAATAGTACAGCGAAAAAAAAAGATCAATGTCTAATAAATGTCCCTATCAACTCACAAAATAGACAGAGACATCAATAAAGGAGGAGATTAAGCTCTGGGTTGATACTCCTCGCCAAGATTCCCTACATCCCGGACAATCTCTCAAAAATGTTAACTAGGAATGAGCTAAAATGTCTAATAGGACAAGTAGAAATGATGGTAAAAACATTAAATCATTGTTGAAAAATTAATCATGAAGTTTGAGTTTCAAACACATTGATTTTTGGGTTAAACTAGGTTACAAAGGTGTTTAAGCTTGAGAAAGATGACTAAGTAAGTTTGTGAATATTTTTAGATCAAAATAAGATTACCATTGAATCTAAACAGTCAAGAAACCTTGGGAGAGGTGATATGGGATATATTGGAATTTTAAAAGTATTTTGAAGTTGAAACGCATTTTGGAGAGATTTTAGGTAGAAATAAATTTGACACTACCTTAGTGTTTTAGTCTTATATTTGTACTTAGATGTCCGATTAATCTAATTTTTGGACAATAGAAACTAGATTTAATGGTTACAAAAATATATTTCATGAAAATTTCGTGAATCGACCTCTAATTAGGACACAACTACCTTTGAAGTTTAGGCAAAAAATGAAGCCCGTTCGAATAAGAGTGGATATGTTCGAATGCATTGCTTGATGAAGTTTTTAGCAAAAAATAAGAGATACTGGGAGCTAGTCCCATTCGGACACCAAAGACTTTGTTCGAACGCTCAGATCTTCGTTTGAACACGCTAATGCGATTCTATAGATCATATCTTTGTCGTCTGCACTATTTTCTCACCCTATAAAATACCTAGGGATGTCTTTTAGGGCTTCTTCACCTATATTTAAAACCTAGGAAACTAAGAGATGTTGGGAGAGAAGAAAAGGGGCAAGATATTTGAGGATTAATGCATAGGAAAAGCCTCAAAACACACTAAGATCAACTAAATTGGGGATTAAGGTAGGAATTTTTTCTCAAGTTCATGCATTGAGATTAAGGTTGTATATGTATAACTTTTTCATCTCTATTATGATATAAATATTAGATCTATGATGTTTTAATGTTGATTTAATTTCAAGATTCGTTTCTTAAATAAAATACATGTTTTGCCATAATGATTGTTTGTTCTTAATACAAAACCTTAGTTCTTGATTTATAAATTGCTTTAATTGATAAAGCTTCAATGTTTTTAGATCCCTTTTGAATATATGTTTTAGTTCTCAAAGAAGCACATGATTTTACATTCAACACACATTTTTACATTCAAAACTTATATGTTCTTGATAAAACCCTAGAATTTGGAATAACGTGAACATGAAGGTTTCTTGTGATGATCCCTTATATGTTTTGTTTTGATTATTTTTCTACCTTGAGAATTGTGGAATTTTGGATTATGGTATACATGAATTTTTGTGAAAAGTGGTGTTATTTTATTATCTCTGATGAGCCCAGATCCAAATGGGCTAAGCCTAATTCGTGGATTAAGCCCAATTAGCCCAAAAAATTAGGTCAAATTCAGCTCATGACCTCAACACAGTCCAAGATTGAAGAGGTCCAAAGTGGTCAATGACTTGATTCAATATGTGTACACCCAAGTGCAAGCGGTTAAGTTGTAGTAATAATCCGGTTAAGTCCGGAGTCAAATTCACAGGGAACTATGATTAGTGTTTTGAAGTAGCAGTGATAGAGACCAAGTAATTGAAAACCTTGAGAGTTTGAAGTTATGGGATTTCTTGAACAAAATATAAGATTCTTTCCAAGAGTTTTCTAGACAAAATATAAGATAAATTCAAATATAAACAATCACCCTTTAGCTCGAGGATCTGAACATGTAGTTAATCATCCGATTTATTATACTTGTGCTTGGTAACTCAATTAACTCTCATGTCAACGACAAGTTAATCGGAGGATAAAGGTGGATTGTAAGAATTAAGCACATGATTCCGATGCCTTTCTAGAAGTTTACAAGAATTGTCTGAGTCGAGACTCAACTTATCTACAAACAAGCAAATGTTTCTACAAGACATCCAACCATGGTGTTAATATTCCATCTTTTAAATGAAGTCTAATAATGGTGAAGATTGAAAGGTAGTCATGAAGATCTAGCCGGAGTATTTGCCTTGAACACATGAATCTTTCTATGCTAGAGTCATCCAAGTCATAGAAAGAATCCACGGTTATATAAAGTATTTTAGTTTTGCTAAATACATTCAATCATTCAAT